ATTCCGCCAGTCCGAAATCACCGGGAATTTATTCCGCCAGTCCGAAATCACCGGGAATTTATTCCCTCAGTCCGAAATCACCGGGAATTTATTCCGTCAGTCTGAAATCATGGGAATTTATTCTGTCAGTCTGAAATCACCAGGAATTTATTCCGTCAGTCTGAAATCAGCAGGGTCTTGCTCCCTCTAAAGAATCCAGGGAGAACCCTCCCTGCCTCTTCCAGGTTCTGGGTCCACCCTGGTTTCCTGGGGTTGTGGCTGCACTGCTCCAGCCTCTGCCCCATCTCCCACGGCCTTCCCTCTGAACGTGTCCGTGTCTTTTCTGCTTTGTGAAATCCCCTCTGCCTCTTCTAAAGATGCATGTGGTGGCACTCAGCTCCCACCTGGATAATCCAGAAAAACCTTCCATCTCAGAACCCTTACCTCCATCACCTCTTCTCCCTGTAAGGTGGCATTTCCAAGGACTGAGATGTGGCCACATCTTTGGGGCCACCATCAAGCCAGGACAGGTGGAAACTTTAGGACCTGGAAGGGGTCTGGGGTGGGGACTGGGAATGAAAATAAGTGCCCATTGTTGAAGCTGCTCCATCAGTGGCACTCTGCCGTGGCCATGGGCTGACGTGCCTATCGGGCAGGCTTGAACACCTGCCTCCATGGGCCCCGCGTGGCTGTGCTACATATGAGGTGCACGCTCCTATGCACCCCCAAACAGCCTGTCATCTCTGAGTCCTGATCTGGGAGCTGCTTGCATGGTGTGTTCTGTTTGTGAACGTTCACTGAGCTGCACACATGTGCTACGTGCACTCCTCTGTGCATATTTACACTTAACGCAGGCTTGGAACATTCTTTCCTTCCATTTTGCAGTTTGCAGGGGAGGTCCCCGAAAACCGTGTGGAGACCGTGGTCGCAAACCTCACCGTGATGGACCGAGATCAGCCACACTCACCAAACTGGAATGCCGTTTACCGCATCATCAGCGGGGATCCCTCCGGCCACTTCAGCGTCCGCACAGACCCCGTCACCAACGAAGGCATGGTCACTGTGGTGAAGGTGCGTACTTTTCTCACACCCTGCCAGGCACCCGAAGTTCTGCCACCTGCACACTCCCTGGGACCAAACAGGAGTGATACTTGGTATAAAGTTAGTGTGCCCCTAATATCCAAGGGCAGAAGCAGGTAACCCAACCGCTGGAGTCAAAGACAACCTTCACAAGGACCAGTCGTGTGACCTTCAGGGGCTTGGCAGAGTCCCCCAAAATACTCTCCTATTCCCTTTCTGACATCTATATATTTGCCCCTGCCCCTTAATCTAGTAATGAGTGAATTTCACTATTATAATTCCCAATGTTAAACCATCTTTACATTCCTGAGATAGAGCCCACTGAGTAGTGAGGTAATCTTTTGTAACATATAGAAGAATTTGTTTTGCTGATATTTAAAGTTTTTCGTGTACTTTTCTGGGTGATTTAGGCTTATGGCTTTCCTTTCCCATAGCGTCCTCATCTGAGTTTTGCTATCGAGGTTACAGACTATCTCAAGAGATGTGCTGGGAAGTGTCCCTTTGTTCTCTGTCCCGGAGTCGGGTCACGGGATGCTGTAATCATCTGTCTGGAATTTTGGTCACACTGTGCCGTGAAGCCATTGACTAGCTGTAGATTTTGTCTTTTTTATTGTGCTTCTTTCTGTTTTGGAGCGAGATCGGTTTGTAACTGCTGGTTCAATTTCTTTTGATGGTTTTGGTCAGATATGTTTTTCTAGAAAAGTGTCCATTTAATCTAAATTTTCAAATGGACTTATAAAGTCCTAGTCCTGTCATTATAGTAGCGGTGATTCAGTCTTCTAACCTAAGTCTTTTTCTACACTTATAATTCATATTCCCCCAGAAGGGCAGATTGTAAATTATATAATAACACTTAGCGTTCATTTACAATGTAGTGTGAAGCAGTTTGCAGCCATTGTCCCAGAGCAATTCTGAATAGGACTAAGACGAAAAGCACAAGAGCACAGCAGACACAGTTAGAGAAAAGAGGGTAACAGGAAGGTGAGCTTAAAGCTGGATAGGCTACGCCAACGCATAAGAAAAAGCAGGTTTAATTTTGGGTTGGATCATTTAGAAATTCCTTCAGCTGCCGGGAGCAGAGACTTGACCACAGAAGGCCTCAATACTCAAGAACTTTGTTCTCTCAAGTGAGAGGAGTGCTGAGGTGGGCAGTTGGGGTTGATGTCACAGCTGCACAATCAGCAGAAACTCTGGCCCCTTCTATCCTCTGCTCTGCTGTGCACACCCTTCAGCTTCATGGTCCAAAATGGCTGCTAGAGCACCAGCCATTACAAGACTTTTACAAGCATTAGAAAATCAAAAATGGGGAAGAATAGTTTGCCCCTCCTTTATTAAGGAACCTTCCCAGAACACCTGTTCACATCTTATTGGGCAGCGTTTAGTCACATGGCCATTCTTAGCCAGAGGAGATACTGCACGACAGTGATGGGCACATCTCCCAAACTTCTCCTGAGGAAGAGGGGAGCTAGACGTCAGGAGGCCACGGTGGAGGAAAGGAGGCTCTCCGGGATCTGTGTCTTTTCCCAACACCCAAAGTCATCTTCTTCCTTTTCTTAATAACCCTTTTTCCAAGCAACCTGATGAAGACCAGTTCTGCTGAAAAATCTTAGAAATGTCTCCATCATTTTTACTTTATGAAATATTCAAACATACAGACAAGCAGAAATAATAGTAAAATGAACTTCCATACACCCATCACCTAGATTTCATTAATATTTTGCTGCATTTACTAAATCTTTTTATTTTGGCTGATGTGTTTGAAAATAAATTAATATGTCACAGCATTCCAACCCTAACAGTATAAGCTTTCTTCTCCAAGAGAGGCTATTTTTTCACCTGAAAGATAGTTCTTAGAGAAGAGGCAAAATACACATTTCACTTCTCCTCTAATTACGAATTTTCAGAGTGGGGCGTTAGCACGGTCGCACCCCAGTGGCAAAGTCAGATCTGTGTGCGCAGGGACGGGACATGGCGAGGGAAGCTGCGACAAACCCTTTCTCCTTTTCTCTGGATGCATTTGACCTTGAGCTAGTGTTGTAGCTCCGGCCCCTAGAAACCACAAGGTGAACCATCAGCGGCTTTGCTGGCAACGTTGCTCATGGGAAGGTGACGGAGACTGGAGGTGACATGCAGGCAGAGGAGAGGGATGAGCCGTGAGCCCAGGGCTATTGGGCCTTCCTCAGGGAGCAGTGAGCCTCGGCCCACCTCCTGCTTGTGATTCCAGGGAGGCCTCTCTGACTCCCACAGCTCGGATTCTGTGGCCTTCACGGGGAGCACCAAGGACACCCCTCAACCCCAGGAGAGCAGCACCTGGCTCGCCTGTCCTGCGCCTGGAGTGCCACTTCTGCAGCTGGAGAACACACAGCCTGCCACTTTCATCAGCCCAACATAGATCAGAAAGGGCCAGAACAGAAGAAGAAGCCTGGCTGGGTATGGTGTGGAAACCTGACCCCTAAAGACTCCAGGGAAGGTGGCTTCCTGCCTGCCCAGCCCATAACAGGGCTGGTGGCCTCAGCCGTCTTGCACCTGCCTGGCCCTATCTGTGCAGAGCTTCACAGCCATAGAAGGTGAACAGCACAGCAAGCTGCAGGGAAGCACCAGCGTCCTGGAACTACATGGACCTCATGGCACGGGGGCAGGCCCGGGGCAGGCCCTCTGCAGGCCCATGGGCCCCTCAACAGGCCCATGGAACCCCTATGCAGGCCACAGAGCCCCTCTGCAGGCCCACAAAGCCCTCTACAGGCCACAGAAGCCACTGGATCCAGGCGTGCAGCAGACTAGTCTGTGAGGCATGGTCGGAGAGTCCCAGGAGGGCCTGGAGGCCACCACCCCGGGAACTGATTCCTGAGGTGGAGAATCATCCCCTTCGGGTTCTTCCTCTAGCTGGGGGTGCTCATGAGAAGGCTGCAGGTGACTGACTCTCTCAAGGCTCAGCTGCTTGGCAGCCATCTTCCCCAGCAGAAAGGCCCTGTCCAGCAGGCAGGTGAGCAGGAATTAGAAGGCAGCAGAGGAGGCGCTGATGGCGGCCAGGTGGGCACAGCCGGGCACATTCACTGACTTTCTGTCATGTGGCAGCTTGGCGGCCAGCCCCCTCTGCTGAGTTTGTGCCATGTCCCCTCCCCAAGCTATCAGGGTCTCCTGCCTGGCTACACCCTCTCCTCGTCAGGCCTCTGTCTACACAGTAAGAGTGGCGTTTCCCAAAGCATGTTCACAGAATGCTGATTCTCAGGGTGTTGGCAAGCGCTGCCTGCAAGGTCCACATTCATGGCTAAAGTCTCCCTGTCACCTGTGCCTCCTGCCCCCGACAGCCGGTCATCAGTGGCACTGAGGCCTCTGAGGGGCCTGTGAAAGGAAGATAGACTCTCGGGACCCCAAACCCACTATGCCAAAGGGCAGCGGAGCTTGGGGACTGAGTCTCACGGTGCTGTCTCCCTTCTGTGGCCACACAGGAGCTGGAGTTCACACCTCCACCCTGACTTCTGTGAAATGCAGATCCCCTGAGTGCTGAGCAGAGCCTCACAAGGACGTAGACAGTGTCTTGTTGCCCACCCAGCCCCTGCTTTTTCTTCTCTTCCTCCTTCCCCTCCTACCTACTCTTTGCTCTTTAAATAGTGAAGCCCTCAAAACCCTCTTTGGGAAAAGCACAGGGCACAGATCCCACTGGGACGTGTGCTTCTTTTTCCTGGGTGAGGACTCAGGCTCAGCAGAATAATCCTCGAATCAACTGAGGTCCGTGCGGACTCAGCCTTGGCAGAATAACCCTCGAATCGACTGAGCTCGGTGCGGGCTCGGCCTCTGCAGAACAACTCTGGGATTGACTCAGATCTTGCAACCCCATCCCCTCAGGCCTGGGACACGTAGAGACCTGCCATGCTCAGTGGAACAAACATATCCCCTGCCTGGTGACCCGCTTCTCCCACGAGAGCCACAGAAGCTAGAAAGGTGCCTGCCACGCCTCTCCCACAGGCAGGCTGGCCCACCGGCCGAAACCCAGAGGCGAAAGTCTGCAGATTTTCAGATTTGGGGCTTGGGGTGCATTTTGCCTTTTCACAGCCGCCGTCTCCCCCACCGGGCACCAGGAGGAGCAAACCAGGTTCCTACAGCACCACCTACTTCACGTGCCCTGGAGGGAAGGGGCGCTCAGGCCAGGGGAGGTCCCAGAAGGGCTGTGACTGGCTCGAGCCTTCATGACCCAGAGAACTAGCACCACCCCTACTTTTGCTGCACATCCCCAGATCTCCAGCACCTCGAAACTGCCAGGGAACCTCAGGCCAGGCCCCAGAGTGATCAGCTACAGTGATCATTGCAGCAGACATTGATCGGGCACCAGTGCCAGCTGTGCCATCCTCACCCCTCATCTCACTTGGTCCTCACGCCCACCAAGGAGGAGCTCTTCTTGTCCCGTTTCACAGATGGCATAACGGGGGCCCGCACGCAGGATCACACAGCCAGAGACGTTACAAGCTGGGGCGGGAACCGGCTCCCTCTGCCATAAAGCCATCTGTTAACTGTCCAGTTCCTCGCTGTCCCTGCCTGTCTGAGCCAAGGTGTCTGTGTGTGTTCGGGAAAAGGTTCCACAGGTTTGAAGCTGCGTCTGAGAGCTGGCTGGGCTGTGTCTGCTCAGGACTCAGGCATCGTCCAGGGCATCCTGACATGGCCAGATGCCACTGTCTGACCAGCCTGAAACCCTCCTAGTGCCATGAGGAGGGGACATGGAGGCTTGGGGAGGAGTCCAAGACCTGAGGCAGCATGAAACTCTGGCCCAGCTGAGGGTCCCCAGCCCAGGGGCCCGGAGACCCCATGATGTAGGTCCAATAGTCCCACAACAGGAAGCCACTCAGCCATCAAAAGGAACAAACAGGAGATCCATGTGACATGCGATGGATCTCCAATGCATGGCGCTAAGTGACATGAGTCAGAACCTAAAGGTGGCAGGTCGCATGTCCCCATCTGCAGAATGACCAGGAAAAGACAAGACTGTGGGGATGGGA